GTCATGATCGTCGTATCCTCAACCTCATCCTAATCCTCATCATAATCTTCATCAGCATCAGCATCATCAGCAGCATCATCAGCATCATCGTCTGAATAATCATCACCATCTTCGCCTGTGGCCAAGATCATCGGACCGTTATCCGTCCTCCTCGCCACATTTCCACAGATGTGCTAATCGTCTTCTGCGTGCAGCTCGCAGCAGTTTCGGATCAGCTGCTACCTGGGCCACGTCATCGAACAAAAACAATGCCTACCGTGCCTCAGCAGATCGACTGGTGGAAACCGAGGGGAGACACGTGGAGCACGGCTGCACAGTAGTGCGTGAGCTCGTGTCCGAATCTCAGCGTCCGGCACCGCACGGTCAGAACGCACGTGGACGTGGGAGGCGGCGGGGGGGTCCGTACTGGTTGGGACCCCACAAAAATAGGTCGGAAGGGGGGGATGAGGCCAAAGCCAATCAAAATCGGTCCCCCGACCCCTCCCAAGGCCCATCTGGCGCACGGTCTCACCCCCAATCCGTGTCTGATGGTCCTGGGGCCCGGAAACGGCCCCAGGGCCCGAAAATAGCACAAAACCTTCCCGAGCCCAGAGCCTCGAACGCAATTTTCCTGCTGGCCGGAACCAGTGCAGGGCCACCTCAGAGCCCCAGAAGGCTCCAAGGTGGACTGCAGTGCAGGCGACATCCGTGCCACAGAGCGGATCCACAAATTCAAACTCGGGAGCGCGCAAACATGGATTAGCGATCCACAGATTTGGCGCGCGGTCGCCAAATCCATGGATCGGGGGAGGTGTGCCATCCCCGAAAAATGCGGCCAGTGCCGCCTCGCTCGGCGGCAGAAGTCCGCGATTTCCCATGGCAGCGGGACCCGTCGCGAATCCACGCCCCCCTGATCCATGCCTGCGATCGCCTGACACAGAGCCGATCCACAAATGCAAACGTTCTCGGACCCCAGTCGCAAATCCACGCCCCCTTGATCCATGCTTGTTGCGATCGCCTGACACGGAGCCGATCCGCAAATGCAAACGTTGTCGGACCCCTCGCGGCGCGCGGCGCAAGAGCAGGGCGATGCGGCCGGCGGCCTGCTGCAGCATCTCCTCGGAGGGCAGCAGACCCCTCCCGCCCTGATCGCACCCCCCTCATCATCCGCCGCCTCTTACACGCATTCCTCTCCTCCTCCTCCTCCTCCTCCTCCTCCTCCTCCTCCTCCTCCTCCCCCCCTCCTCCTCCTCCTCCCGCTCCTCCTCCTCCCCATCCTCCTCCTCCCCCCCCCTCCTCCTCCTCATCCATCTGCCTCCTCCCCATCTTCCACTCCCTCATTCTGGTCCGCCTCCTACCCGGACCGTCGCCTCAACGCTCCCTCGATGCAGCGCAGCGGAGTATACGGTACGGCGATGTCCTCTCCCTCTGAAGGGGAACGATCGGGGGGGAGGGCCAGCTCAGGGGATGGGAAGATCGACCTTGAATCGGCGACTTATCGCCGATAAATCGGCGATGGCCCCCCGATAACGAATCCGCACGTGCCAGCCCCTGGAGGCCTTCGGGCCCCTGCCGGCGATCAAGGGGCGACTGGGGGCGATGCATCCCCCCTGATCCTATCCCTGGTGAAACCACAAGGTGCCCATACCGCTACTCCCCAGACCTATCCTGGGGTGCGTTCTGACCAGAATTTCGAGGCGAATGCAACTGTGGCGACGAGGGACTCCCAGGAGGCCCGAAAGGGCAAAGCGAAGCAAAGGCAGCGGTATGGGCAACTTCTCCTCCCCCGAATCCCCCCCCTAGCGTTGCCCCCCAGACTTTGCCATCCCAGGAGGCCTCCGAGCAGAGCAGCCTCGGCCATCGCGACGAGATCGCCTCCTCTGGCGGTGGAGTGGCGGAGAAGCCTCCGGGATCCGACCGCCCACCCGGCTGAGGAGCATGCGCTGCGTGCGGCAGGTCCGTGCGGCGTGCGCGCGCACAGATTCCTGACACCGCCAGGGCACGAGAACACGCCAGGAACATGAACTTTTGGCGCTCCGCGCGGATTTCCTTGAACGATCGGGGCCGCGATCGATTCAAGGCTGAACGATCGGCGCGGTTCGAAGAAGAGAACACGCCATAAACACTTTTGGCGTTCCGCGCCGATTTCCTGGGTCTGCGCTGGACCCCCCTCCCTGGGGCGCGCGGAGCGCGCCAGGGGCGGCGCTGGAGGCGCCGCCGGGGGGGCCCAGCGCGGATCCAAGAAACGCGCGCGGAGCGCCAAAAGTTTATGTTTATGGCGTTATTTCTCCTTCGAACCCCGTCGATCGTTCAACCTTGAATCGATCGCGGCCCCGATCGTTCAAGGTTGAATTCCGTCGGGTCCAGTGGCGCTGCCGCGTCCCTCTGTGCTTCCGCGGCACAGGCCTCAACCTGGAACGCATTCGCTGGCGTCGCGGGCGCGCCATCGCCGCACGAACATACCGCACACCATCGATTTGCCACAGAATCGTCGTCGCATCTGCGAAAAGAGAAAGACGTCGCACGCTGGGTAGATCTGCGGAGCTCTTCGCGCATGTGTGTCTCGCAGATTCGACGGGAAATCAACTCGTAGGGGGCCACGTGCGAACCCTACCCCTACCCCCCACGATTTCTGAGGGGGAGGGTGGGGTTGACTTCGCTCGGGCGCTCCCGAGAGAGGTGAACCCCACCCTCCCCCTCAGAAATCGTGGGGGGTAGGGGTAGGGCTCGCACGTGGCCCCCTAACTCCGGGGTAAAGGAGTTCTGCAGGCGGTCCCCCTCTCGATCCGTTGCCCCCCCCCTAGGAGGCTGCGCAGTTCCACCGCCCGCTGTGGCCAGTCCCCTTCTGGACCCCCAGGCGATTCCCAAAACGACGCCCACCACGAGCTCGAACTCCAGGGCTGGACCTACACGTTGTTTTTCGTTTTGGCTTCGTTTTGTTGTTTGTTTTGCTCTCCCTGTTTTCCTGCACCTCCCTGCCAAAACGAACTTTATATATTCGCCGGCCCAACGGGCCAGAGGCGTGCTAAGATCTCCGGTAACTGGTTAACAATTGTATTGTACTAGTTCGCGCGCGCGGGGCGGCCCCTGGGGGTCCCCCGGCGAAAAGTACCCCGCCCGCCGCCTGGGAAGGTCCCGCCCGGTTCAACTCAGAGATGGTTTTCCTTCTGGGTGCGGCCTCTCAGGCCGCCCTGAGCGCGCCAAGAGTGCCCCAAGAGGCCCCCAAGATTGCTCAAGAGGCCCCCGAGACGTTCAAAGAGCGCTCCAAGGCGCCGAAGATGACCCCAAGACGGCCCAAGAGACCCCCAAGACAGCCGAAGAGGCCTTCAAGACGCCCCAAGAGCCTTCCAAGAGGCCTCCGAAGAGAGCCCCAAGAGGCCAAAATCGTTGATTTTCATTGGTTTTTCCGATGTTTTTGGCGTTCTGGCTTTTTCGGCTTCCGGACGCTCCAAGACGACCCAAGAGGCGCCCAAGATCGCTCCAAGACGGCCCACGAAGCTCCCAAGACGGCCCCGAAACGGCCCAAGAGGGCCCCCAAGACGGCCCAAGTGCCGCCCAAGACGGACCAAGAGGCCCCAAGACGGGCCCAAGAGGGGCTCAAGAGGGGAACCGAGAACTGAAAAATCGAGCCCTCCGCCCCAGAAGGCGCCCAGGAGGCCCCAAAAAGGCCCCAAGAGGCCCCCAAGAGGCCCCCAAGACGCCCCAAGAGGCGCCCAAGAGGCCCAAAAGAGGCCCCAAGAGGCCCCAAAAAGGCCCCCAAGAGGCCGCAAAACTCGGCTAGCCCGCAACGGTGCGACAATATGGGCCGGCGGAATGAGCGAAGCGATTAAATAAATCGCACTAGTAAACATAAGAATAATAATAGTAATACTTTAACAAGCAAAGAAAACAAACAAAGGAAAACAACGAAAACGAAATCGAACAAAACAACGTTTAGGTCCAGCCCTCTTCCCAACATCCTATCTGACCGGATTGTGGTTACATGCTGGCCTCCAATTTCAGTTTCGTGAGCACTGGAGGGCGGACGCCGTTTCGCCCCAGCCTCGCCGACAAGTCGGAACCCTCAAAAACATACTTACCCCAGGGCCTGTATAGCAAGTGTTCGGGTTCGTTCGTTACGCTTCCCCATGAGAATGTCCACACCGTTTCGGATGCGATCTGGGATCAATGTTTGGACGACTCTGGGCCCAATCTGAGCGATGCCAAACCAGCCACCGCGCGGGCATGGAGCGAATGCAGGTCGTGCGGGGCTCGGGTGGGCCGTCTTGAAAACCCTGGCGGGCCACCTCGGGCCCTTCTTGGGCACTCTTGTTGCCACACTAGGGGGGGGGTCCTGTTGGGCCGAACCTGAACACTTGTGACAGTCCCTCGGGGACGCACCAAGCCGGGTCAGCACAAGCACAAATCAACCAGGGCCTTGTCGCGAAGCGAGGCCGGCCGCTCAGCAAGTAGCTCCCACACCCGGGACCCGGGTCCAGGGACAGCGGAAAGTGGGAATAGGCCCCGCGTGGCTCCCAAGCCCAGGGCAGTCAGAGGGGGCTAGCTGCCCCCAGTGCTGAGCCCCGCTAAGTGAGCCCCGAGTCTCAGAGACGGAGTTGGCCTCCTCACCTCTAGGCCCGTCGAAGATTTCGTTCGGCGTAGCCCGTGTTGGAACCATGTTCGGCTTGTCCCCCTCCTCCTCCTCCTCCTCCTCCTCCTCCTCCTCCTCCTCCTCCTCCTCCTCCTTCTCATCATCATCATCATCATCATCATCATCATCATCATCATCATCATCATCATCATCATCATCAGCAGCAGCAGCAGCAGCAGCAGGAGCATCATCAGCATCATCATCACCATCATCATCAGCAGCAGCAGCATCATCGTCATCAGCATCACCAGCATCATCCTCTTCTCGACCGTCTGATAGCTTTTATTATCATGACTATGATTAGCCATATGAGTATTATTATTTGTAGTATGTTTCTCTTCATTGAAACTGTTCGAACAACCGATATTAGCATGATAAGTATCCTTGTTAGCAGTATAAATATTAGTATGGCTAGTACGATTAGTAGGGTTATCCTTAGTATTACTGCTAGGAGTGTTGCTAGTAGTATCACTGGCATGCGTAGTATTAGTATTGGCATTAGGATTACGAGCGGTACTAGAATAACCAGTAGTAGTATAAATACTAGTAGTATGAACGGTATACTATTAGTTTTGTTAGTGCTCCTCTTCCTCTGCCTTATCCTCACTCCTCCTCCTCCGCCTCCTCCTCCTCCTCCTCCTCCTCCTCCTCCCCCCCCCCTCCTCCTCCTCCTCCTCCTCCTCCTCCTCCTCCTCCTCCTCCTCCTCCTCCTCCCCCCCGACTCCTCACCTCGTCGCCGCCGCCACCATCACCACTGTCCTCCGTGGCCCCCTCGTCCTCCTACCTCCTCGGCGACCTCACATTATGTTTGATTGTTTCCCCTTTTTTCCCGTCCCCTCGCACTGGGGGAAGGAAGAAGGCCCATGCGCCACTCCGTGCGCCCCTAAGTGGCGGCCTGTGTCCACAATGGCCCAACATACGTCATGGTTCACACGTCTCGCGCAAGCTGGCTGGGGCCACAGAACACACTGGGCCCAAGCTAAGCCAAACAGGAGCGGCAGCTGGCAATGCCAACCAAGGCATGAAGCAATGAATAGGCGACGAGCCCAGGGGGGAAATGAGAAGGAGAAGGCCTTCTCGGAAGGCCGCGGGACTTCTTAGAAGTCCGGGGGGCTTCTGAGACGTTTCCTTGGCCTATTTCGAATACAGACAGAACTTCTCAGAAGCCCTCTCAAAGTCCAGAAACTTCTCAGAAGCCTCGGAAGTCCCGCCCCTTCTCATTTCCCCCCCGCGCCCGCCGCCGAATGAAGGCAGGCCTGGGAAACTTGCCATTCGGTATGCTGACAATTGGCGAAGGATTTGGAGGTCAAGCATTAAGCCTACCCGTGATGGGGGCCCGAAATGCACATCACAGGCGGCTTGAGCCTACCTGCCCAAATCAGCCATCTGCCGTGCGCCAGACCCCCGCATACACCTGCCAGCGCAACCTTCCATGATGATCCCATGAGCGATCATCGGATTCGCTGCCTCGGCGTAGCGACCTCCTCCTCCTCCTCCTCCTCCTCCTTCTTCTCCTCCTCCTCCTCCTCCATGTCCTCCTCCTCCTGCGCCTCCTCATCGTGCTCCGCCACCTCATGCGCATCACGATCCTCTTCATCCCATACCCTCCCTTCTCCACCTCTTCGTTTTCGTCCTCGTCTACCCCATCCCCCGTCACCTCTAGTCCTCCCTCCTCCCGTCCTCACCGACCCACCCCCCACATCCTCCCCTCTCGTCCCCCTGGCCTCCTCCGCCTCCTCCCCCTCTCCCCCTTCCTCCCCCCCTTCCTCCCCCCTGGCCTTCTTCTCCTGATCACTCCTCCCTCTCCCCCATGCCTCCCCTCCCCCCCTTCCTCTCTCTCTCTCTCTCTCTCTCTCTCTCCCCCCCTGCCTCCCTCCCCCTTTTGGCCCTCCCTCGCCCCCGCCCCCGCCCTCTCCCCCCGCTCATCCGCCCACCCTGGCGCACCCGAGGCGGGGCACGCCGTGGCCGAGACCCCGGGGCAGAGGGCAGGTGCGGCGCCGCCTGGAGGGCGACTGCACCTGGGAGACACCAGGAGGCACCCAGACCCGAGGGGCAGCGACAGGGGGGGGGGGGACTGGCAGAGGGGGGGGCACATCCATCTCCTCCTCCTCCTCGTCCTCCCCCCTCCCCCTCCTCCTCCTCCTCCTCCTCCTCCTCCTCCTCCCCTCCTCCTCCTCCTCCTCCTCCTCCTCCTCCCCTTCCTCCTCCCCTTCCTCCTCCTCGATAGGCAACGATAGGGGGGGACTGGCAGAGGGGGGGGGGGATGCGTCGACCTGAAATCGGCGATACATCGCCGACAGATCGGCGTAGGCCCCCGATAGTGAATCCAAACCTTCCTGTGCAGGTTGGGACTATCGGGCCCCTGTCGGCGATCAGTGGGCGATTGGGGGTCGATGCGTCCCCCCTATGCCTATCCCCCCCCCATTGTTGCCCCCGATCCCTGGACCTCTCTCAGGGTGCATTCTGACCAGGATGCGGCGGCGGCCAGGGCGGCGAGTCCAGTGGCGGCGACAAAGCCTCCCGGGAGGCCCTGGAGGGGCTAACGAAGGAAGGGGTAGCGGCATGGGTGCCTGTCCCCTGAATGCTGCAGCGGTGCTGATGCACCTCCCGCGCGCCCGCTCTCCCCGGTGGCCGGGCCTCGCACTTGCGAGACGGTGCTGTGGGCTCCCGGCGGGCGCCTGCCTCGTCGCCAGCCGGCGGGGCGCACACGCGTTGCCCTTCGCGCACCTCTCGGCCACTGCCTCCCCCCGCCCGGGACCCCGCGCGCGCACGCGTGCGGGCCAGCCGCGGGGGTCCTCCAGGCACGCGACGTCGCGGGCGTGGGACTCGGCGGCCACCCGCTGCTCCTCCCCGCCGGGGCGTGGCGAGCGACGACGACGACGACGACGACG